AACCCTAAACCCTAAAACGAAATGTTGGTATTGGTAGCCAAACACCCTAAAAGGAATTGTTGGAAAGCAAACCCGAAACCCTAAAAGGAGATGTCTGTAGCCAAACCCTAAACCCTACAAGGAGATGTTGGTAAGCAAACCCAAAACCCTAAAAGGAAATGTCGGTAAGCAAACCCTAAACCCTAAAAAGAGATTGGTAAGCAACCCAAAAACCACAAGGAGATATTGGTAGCCAAACCCTAAACCTTAAAAGGAGATGTTGGTAGCCAAACCCTAAACCCCAAAAAGGAGATGTTGGTAAGCAAACCCAAAACCTTAAATGGAGATGTCGGTAGCAAACCCTGAACCCTAAAACGGAATGTTGGTAGCCAAACCCTAAACCCTAAAACGAAGTGTTGGAATGCAAACCCAAAGCCGTAACCCTAAACCCTAAAAGGCGATGTTGGTAGCCAAACCCAAAACCCTGATCGACCGGGGTCGTCGGTAAGCAAACCCTAAACCCGAAGAGGAATTGTTGATAGCCAAGCCGTAAACCCTAAAAGGAGACGTTGGTAAGCAAGCTCTGATGCCTAACCCAAAACCCTGAAAGGAGGTGTCGGTAAGAAAACCCTAAGCCCTAAGAGGAGATGTTGATAGCCAAGCCCTAAACCCTAAAACGAGATGCTGGTACGCAAACCCAAACCCTAAACCCTAAAACGAGATGTTGGTAAGCAAACCCTAAACCCCGAAAGGAGATGTTGCTAGCCAAATCCTATACCCCAAAAGGAGGTGTTGGTAGCCAAACCCAAAACCCTAAAAGGAGATGTCGGTAAGCAAACCCAAAACCCAGGCCCTAAACCCTAAAAGGGGATGTTGGTAAGCAAACCCTAAGCCCTAAGAGGAGATGTTGATAGCCAAACCCTAAACCCGAAAACGAGATGTTGGTAAGCAAACCCTAAACCCCGAAAGGAGATATTGCTAGCCAAACCCTAAACCCTAAAAGGAGGTGTTGGTAGGCAAACCCTAATCCCTAAAATTTAAAAGGGGATGTTGGTAGCCAAACCCAAAACCCTAGAAGGAGAATTCGGTAAGCAAACCCAAAACCCAAAAAGGAAATGTTGATAGCCAGGCCCTAAACCCTAAAAGGAGATGTTGGTAAGCAAACCTGAACCCTAAAACGGCTACTTCTGAACCCACTCCTGCTCCCACTCCTACTCCTACTCCTACTCCTACTCCTACTCCTACTCCTACTCCTACTCCTACTCCTACTCCTACTCCTACTCCTACTCCTACTCCTGCTCTTACTCCTACT